ATGTAAACCTAGAAAATGTCTAAGCGGACAGGCTCGGATAATGATCTCTAATATATTTAACGATCTGGGCCATGTAATTAGTTTTCTTTTGATGGAAAAAGTAGAGACAAAATTAAGGATCTCAAGTTAATTGCTAGGGGCTGAAATAAGACAAGCCTAATTATCAAAAGGTCCCAGATTGTGTCTGATCTTGGAAACTAAGCAGAGTCAGCCCTGGTTAGTACTTTGATGGCAGCCCACCAATTAATACCAGGTGCTGCAGATCATATTTCAGGTGAACAAAGGAACAGGCAAAACCACTTCTGAGCAGTCCTTGTCTAGGAAAACCCTATGAAATTCACGGGGTCACCATAAACTGACAAGTAATTTGAAAGCACACACTCACATAGATCAAACAACTTGGGTTCAGGCTATTTGAAAGACAGTATCACTCTTTATGAACCTATCAAAATCACAATCACATGGAGGTGGCCTTCTCTTTGTCCCACCACTTTTCCTAGCTTGTTTGGTGGGAAGAAGGGAGAGGGCCTTTTCAGTGGCAGCTCCCAGACTCTGGAATTCCCTCCTTAGGGCCCATTCCTGCTTGGCTTGTGCAGGTAGGTTAAAAAGTACCTGCCTTTGGGCATATATGGACTGATGAATGATGGGCTCTTGGAGATGATGAGATTTGGATTTTAGAGTTGTGTGCGGAGTTTTAATGCATTTTAATGTTTAATGGTTTTAATGACACAAGATTAATTATGTATGTATATATCTGAGTACATAAAAGATAAAGGCTTCCCCTTGACATTAAGTGGTGCTCATCTTCATTTCTATGGAGCCCCTGGTGGCACAGTGGGTTAAACCCCTGTGCCGACAGGACTGAAGACTGGTTTGAATCCGGGGAGGGGCAGATGAGCTCCCTTTATCAGCTCCAGCTCGTCATGCGGGGACATAAGTGAAGCCTCCCACAAGGATGATAAAAACATTAATTCATCCGGGCGTCCCCTGGGCAACGTCCTTGCAGACGGCCAATTCTCTCACACCAGAAGCAACTTGCAGTTTCTCAAGTCGCTCCTGACATGACAAAAAAAACAAAAACACTCAAATTCTAAACTGAAGAGCCGGAGTTGTCCATAGATGTGTCCAAGGTCATGTGGCTGGCATGAATACATGGAGCCCCGTTATCTTCCCACCGGAGCAGTACCTATTGATCTACTCACATTTGCATGGTTTCAAACTGCTATGTTGGCAGAAGCTGAAACTAACAGAAGGAACTCATCCTGCTCCCCATATAAATTTTAGTTTTATCCCGACTTTCTCCCAACATAGGGACTCAAAGCAATTAACAGCAAACATGACACAGTACAATTAGAACAGGACAAATGCATTAATTAAAATAGGAATATAAAAACTATAAATGCAATCAAATCCTTATATCATGGAAAATAACAAATATTAAAATACATTTAAAACTACACAGCTTCCCAAAAATCTCATTCAGCAGCCTGCAGGTCCTTCCACACAGCCATATAACCCAGAATATCAAGCCAAAAAGGCCACAATATCTGCTTTGAACTGGATTATCTGAGTCTACATTGTCATATAATCCAGCTCAGTGTGAATTTTATACAGCTGTGTGGAAGGGGGCCTGCCTCTCGTCGATTCCACAAATGTACAATGGAAGAGGAAAGTTTTTACCTGCTTATGAAAGGCAAGCAATGATGGTGTCACTGGGGGCCCTTCCACACAGCTGAGTAAAATCCCACATTTTCTGCTTTGAACTGGAATATATGGCAATGGGAATTCAGGGCCCTTTCACACAGCCCTATATCCCAGAATATCAAGGCAGGAAATCCCACATCATCTGAGTGTGGACTCAGAGAACCCAGTTCAAAGCAGATATTGTGGGACTTTTTGCCTGCATCTTCTGGGATATAGAGCTGTGTGGAAAGACCCTTAGATAACCCAGTAGATATTGTGGGATTTTCTGCCTTGATATTTTGGGATATAGGCTGTGTGGAAGGGCTCTAGGTGTCTCTGGGGAGGGAGTTCAAGAGTCTGGGAACAGTGCCTTTACATTGTTTCAATTGGCATTGTTTTGTATTTGTTGTTAGCTGGCTTGAGTTCTTCTACTGCAGGCATAGGCAAACTTCGGTCCTCCAGGTGCTTTGGACTTCAACTCCCACAATTCCTAACAGCCTACTAGCTGTTAGGAATTATGGAAGTTGGACTTCAAAATGCGTTGGGGAGGCATCGTTTGCCCATGCCCGCTATATTGGGGAAAAGGTGGAATAATAAAATAAACAAATAAAAATAAAGTAAAGAAACAAAGACTGGGTGATAAAAGACCTGGCTTCAACTTGCAGGAAAAGTTATTTCACCTGAACATTAGGAAGAACTTTCTGACTGTGAGAGCTGTCCAGCAGTGGAACTCTCTACCCCGGAATGTGGTGGAGGCTCCTTCTTTGGAGGCTTTTAAACAGAGGCTGGATGGGCATCTGTCAGGGGTGATTTAAATGCGATTTTCCTACTTCTTGGCAGGGGGTTGGACTGGATGGCCCACGAGCTCTCTTCCAATTCTATGATTCTAAGCAGAGGGTGGCTGGCCATGTGTTGGGAGTGCTTTGATTGTCTGCTCCTTCATGGCAAAATGGGGTTAGAGACTCAATGGCCTTTTGTGGTCTCTTGCAATCCTATAGATTCTTTTCTATGGCTGTAAGACCTTTCCCCGCACAGTGAGCCTGTCTCTGGTGGAATCACAGCATACTGTCTATATGTGGCACATTAATATCCACTCTCACAGACAGATAGAGAGGCATTGTCTTCCCAGTTGCTCCCAGAGGTCATCCCCCCCCCCCCATCGGCCAGCTGGGCAGAGCTGGCAAGGTTCCTGGGCACAGATTACCAGTGACTTTTGAAGCCCCTTTGCCAGATGGCAGCATCAGCGACACAGGGGGAGATTATCACCACTGAAATGCTCCCGGGGAGCAGGGGATGCGTGGGAGGCTTAATGGGTTCCTTGCAAGCAGAGGAGGAATGCCCTCCATCCCATCAGAGCCCCATACCTTCTGAAGGGGAAACAGGACAACTCCAGTCATCACCCCCTTGAAACAGTCTACCCTGTAGAGTTAACACAGTTCGACAGCACTTTAACTGCGTGGTTCAATGCTATTGGAATCCTGGGATTTGCAGGCAGGTGAAGCAGCAGCACTCTTTGTCACAGAGCCAGCATTGAGCCAGGGCAGTTAAAGTATCAAACCTCAATATCTATATAAATAAAAATGTAATGTTCGTTTGTGGGATTAACATAACTCAAAAACCACTGGACGAATTGACACCAAATTTGGACACAAGACACCTAAGAACCCAATGTATGTCCTTCACTCCAAACATTGATTTTGTCATTTGGGAGTTGTAGTTGCTGGGATTTATAGTTCACCTACAATCGCAGAGCATTTTGAACCCCACCAACGATGGAATTGAACCAAACTTGGCACACAGTTCTCCCATGACAAACAGAAAATACTGGAAGGGTTTGGGGGGCAGTGTCCTTGGGTCTTGGAGTTGTAGTTCACCTCCATCCAGAGAGCACTGTGGACTCAAACAATGATGGATCTGGACCAAACTCTACACGAATACTCCATTTGTCCAAATGTGAACACTGGTGGAGTTTGGGGAAAATAGAATCTTGACATTTGGGAGTTGTAGTTGCTTGGATTTATAGTTCACCTACAATCTCAGAGCATTTTGAACCCCACCAACGATAGAATTGGGCCAAACCTCCCACACAGAACCCTCATGTGGGCCACAGCAACGCGTGGCAGGGGATGGGTAGTCTATATAAATAAAAATGTAATGTTCATTTGTGGGATTAACAGAACTCAAAAACCACTGGACGAATTGACACCAAATTTGGACACAATATACCAGGCATGGGCAAACTTGGGCCCTCCAGGTGTTTTGGACTTCAACTCCCACAATTCCTAACAGCCTACCGGCTGTTAGGAATTGTGGGAGTTGAAGTCCAAAACACCTGGAGGGCCCAAGTTTGCCCATGCCTGCAATATACGTATCAGGCCAATGAGTGACCATCACTCATAAAAACACTAAAAAACACAACAGAAGAGACTAAAAAAGCAAAAAATAGAAAATAAAAAATACGTTACTTCCATGCGCAAAACCATATATACGTGTGTGTTTGTGTATATATGTCTGTCTGCTTATATATATATATATATATATATATATATGCAGACAGACATATATAAACACATACACAAATATATACACACACATAAAACTCTTATACACAGACCGGGCCACATCAACGCATGGCAGGGGATGGCTAGTTATATATATATAAATACCCCCTTGGAGCAATCTACACTGTAGAATTAACACAGTTTGACACCACTTTAACTGCCCTGGCTCAATGCTATTGGAATCCTAGGGTTTGTAGTTAGTTGAAGTACCAGCACTCTTTGGCAGAGAGCTAGCACTGAGCCAGGGCAGTTAAAGCGGTATCAAACCGCATTGATTCTACAGTGTAGCTGCACAAACTGGAGGAAGAAAATACTGCACATCCATTCATAAAACCTCTTAGGAGCTGGAGGCTGATATGGGGAAAGCCAAGTCATTATGAAAGGAAGGAAGAGAAATCATCACAGCCTCCTCTTTGTGATTGAAAGGGTGGAGGGATGCCAAAGGCTTAGCTATGGAAGACGAGCCCCAAAATAACAATGGAGAGGAACAACGGAGACTCTCTCCTATATGGTTCAAAGCATGCAACACAACGAGGCCAAGGCACGGAGCTTACCTGTTCCTGCCATCCTCAGCCCAAGACGCTTCCCGGTTCCTGCCTCACCTGAGCATCTTCTCTCCCACCCTCCCTTTAACAGCCCCGTCCGCGCATGCACGCTGCATGTCCCGAATGGAACTACGATTCCCGTCGTGCCCTGCGCGGCGCCTAATACTCTTCCGCCGACATTTTTTCTTTCTCTCCCGGACGTCTCCCAAGCCGGGGCGAAGCAGTCATGTGACCACGAGAGCAGCCAATAGGAGGCGCGGAGGCCTGGCTGGGGAGAGCGCCTTTCTGTCATGGCGCCTGCGAGGTTTTGCGTCCCTGGTGGGTGACCCAGAATGGGGAATGGATTGGATTGGTGGACTCTTCGAAGCGTGGGAGGGGGCCTCAGTTTGTGGAGACATCGTGGGAGAGAAGAAGGCCTTCTGGAAATTGTAACTTCTATGTTTTGGCTGTTGAAAAGGCCAGTTCCATTCTAGGCCGCATCAATAGGAGTATAGTGTCTGTATCAGGATCCAAAATGGCTTTTTAACAGGTTAGAGCTGGCATAGGCAAACTTGGGCCCTCTAGGTGTTTGGGACTTCAACTCCCACCATTCCTAACAGCCTCAGGCCCCATCCTTTTCCCCCTCAGCCGCTTAAGCGGCTGAGGGGGAAAAGGAAGGGGCCTGAGGCTGTTAGGAATGGTGGGAGTTGAAGTTCCAAACACCTGGATGGCCCAAGGTGGCCCATGCCTGGATTAGAGAGATGGGCCAAAACAGGGAGAAATGTTAAGGTTTTTACACCTGGGCAATAAACATGAAATGCTTTAGGATGGGTGACACCAGGTTTGAAAATACGTGAAAGGCATCTAAAAGTCTTAGTCGACCACACGCTGAATGTGAACCAACATTGTGATGCAGCAGCTAAAACAGCTAATGCGATTCAAGGCTGCATCAATGGGAGGATAGTGTAGAGATCAAGGGAAGTCCTAGCCCCCCTCTATTCTGCTTTAGTCAGACCTCACTTGGAATAATACTCCAGTCCAGTTCTGGGCACTACAATTGAAAAGAGATATTGACAAGCTGGAAGGGTCTGGCCCAGCTTACCTGTCTGAACGTATCTCCCTCTATTCTGGGCACCACAATTCAAGAGAGATATTGACAGGCTGGAATGTGTCCAGAGGAGGGCGACTAAAATGATCAAGGGTCTGGAGAACAAGCCCTATGAGGAGTGGCTTAAGGAGCTGGGCATGTTTAGCCTGAAGAAGAGAAGGCTGAGAGGAGATATGATAGCCATGTCTAAATATGTGAGAGGAAGCCACAGGGAGGAGGGAGCAAGCTTGTTTTCTGCTTCCCTGGAGACTAGGGGAACAATGGCTTCAAACTACAAGAAAGGAGATTCCATCTGAACATGAGGAAGAACTTCCTGACTGTGAGAGCTGTTCAGCAGTGGAACTCTCTGCCCCGGAGTGTGGTGGAGGCTCCTTCTTTGGAAGCTTTTAAACAGAGGCTGGATGGCCATCTGGCAGGGGTGATTTGAATGCAATATTCCTGCTTCTTGGCAGAATGGGGTTGGACTGGATGGCCCATGAGGTCTCTTCCAACTCTTTGATTCTATGAATCACCTCGGAGGTTAAGATCTTCTAGGGCTGAGACTTCCACCTTGGTCCATATATCAAACGGAGAATGTATTGGGAATCTCACATCAGAACAACATATTTTATGTGTGACCAAGACCCAAAAATAACATATAAAACAGCTCTGTACTTAAGCAAAACAATACGTCTGAGAACCACATATGTAGGGCTGATTGGGGTAAATTGTAGGGGTGATAATGAAATATGATGTATATACTCATCTTGATAAGTTTATCAGTTTTATCATGTCTTATATTTATTTACTGTGTTGTTATAAGTGTCGTATTTTAACTAAGTGGAGTGTGATAAGGTCTTTTCAGTCCTTGTTGTTTTCTTTCTTATTGTGATATGGCCTAAGGGCTAATCAATAACATTACTTACTTACTTCTAGGGCAGTGGTTCTCAACCTGTGGGTCCCCAGGTGCTTTGGCCTACAACTCCCAGAAATCCCAACCAGTTTACCACTGTTCTAGGGAGGCCCTGCTCTCGGTCCCACCTTCGTCACAGGTGCGGCTGGTGGGAACGAGAGACAGGGCCTTCTCAGTGATGGCTCGGCTGTGGAACTCACTTCCCAGGGCCCTTCCAGACAGGCCCTTTATCCCAGGATCTGATCCCAAGTTTTCTGCTTTAAACTGGATTATGAGTCCACACTGCCAGATAACCTAGGATAAACAGATAATCTGGGATCATATCCTGGGATGAAGGGGCAGTGGGGAAGGGGCCCCAGTGAAATCAGATCAGCTCCCTCCCTCCGGACCTTTAGAAAGAAACTAAAAACCTGGCTATGGGACCAAGCTTTCGGAGAATAGTCAGTGCAATAGGCAGCTGTGAAGTAATTGTAACACAATTGGAATGCCTTCTGGATTATGACTTCGGATCTTATGTGGTTTTTAATAGATATTCTATTATTTTTAAAATTTATATTGATTTTAGTGTAGGTGTATATTGTATTTGTATATATTTGTATGGCATTGAATTATTGTCAGTTTGGAAGCTGCTCTGAGTCCCCTTTCAGGGTGAGAAAGAGCAGGGTAAAAATACAGTAAATAAATAAAGAAGGCGTCCACAGAGAAGGGCTACCAAAGTGAGCAAAGGTTTGGAAACCAAGTCCTATGAGGAGCCACTAAGGAATGTGAGTGTGTTTAGCTTGGGGAAAAGAAGGCTGAGAGGACATGAGAACCATGTGTAAATATTTTAAAAAATGTCACATTGAGGAGGAGAAAAGTTTTTTCTGCTGCTCTAAAGATTAGGACATGGAGCAGTAGGTTCAAACTGCAGGAGAAAAAGAGTCCACCTAAACATTAAGAAGAATTTCCTGATGGTCAGAGCTGTACGGTTGTGGAATATATTCTGATAGTCTCCTTCTCTGGAGGTTTTAAAGCAGAGGCTGGATGGCCATCCCTTGGGGGTGCTTTCATTGTGTTTTCTTGCATGTCAGGGGGATGGATTGGATGGCCCTTTAGGTCTCTTCCATCTCTGTGATTCTACAATTCATGGGTCCAGTCCCAGGAATTTTGTTGGGACTAGACCAGTCGTTCCCATTCTTTGGTCTTCCAAATGTTGTGGACGTCAACTCCCAGAATTGGTGGCAGTTGGTCTGGTTGGCTGGGGTTTCTGGAAGATGAAGTCCTAAATAACCATAGAACTCAGTGTTTTGGCTGATCTGTGACCCAGCATTTAGGTGGGTGGCTGGCCTCATGTGGCCTGTGGAAAAGAGAGCTGTGTCCAGATGTAGAGTGCTTACTTTTGTAGTTGTGTTACATCACAGCAGTGGCAGTTGGGATAGAGAGAGGGCCTTTCACCAGCTGGTTGGCCTAGGCATGATTGAGCTGGGCCTGTCTCTTCCATGGTGGAATCTCCATCTCTTGAAGTTTTTAAGCAGTGGCTAGATGGCCATCTGTTGGGAGTGCTTTGATTGTGTGTTCCTGCATAGCATGGGTTGGACTAGATCAGTGTTTCTCAAACTGTGCTCATCAAGGTGTTTTGTATTTCAGCTCCCAGAAATCCCAGACAGCTTACCAGCTGTTAGGAATTCTGGGAGCTGAAATCCCACAATGCCTGGAGGAGCACAGTTTGAGAAACATTGGACTAGATGGCTCTTGTGGTTTCTTCTAACTCTATGATTCTGTTCTTTCTCTCCTAGGTCACAGCAATGGCAGCTGGAATTATCTTTAATCAGCTGCTTGGGCCATGTTGTTCTAAGTCATTGTATAATAAGAGGAGAAATGTATTATGTTGCAGTGCTGTTCAGTTAGTGAGAACAGCACTACAGATTGCACGTAGCACACTTTTTCCTGTGACTATCCTGTTAACAGCACAGATGTCAATAATAGATGTTGGGAAGTACCTCAGATGGGCCACCTTTCTCCTGCTGCCTACTAGAAATCTCAGAACTAAGGCAGCTTATATGCTACGCAAGGAGCAGTTTGCAGACAATGTTTCACAGTGCAGATTTCTTCCTGTTCTTCCAGCTTGTGTTTCAATTTGCCACATAACTGTCTGAGGAATGAGTAGACAATTGTATGTCTCAGGCAGGGAATGACTAAAGTTTCTAACCTGGGCATCTTTTGACTTTTCTTTTATTTCACAGGAGAACGACTGTGTAGCTTAGAAGAAGGAATTCCTGGGAGTGGCACCTACACACGTCATGGTTTTATCTTTGCCTCTTTGGCTGGTTGTCTTGTGAGGAAAAGTGAAAATGGCACGGTGAGAATCAAACACTCACTTAGTAGCAGTCTGGTGGTTGGAGCTGAGGGTTGCAGTTCCTGAATAGTTTGATGTGAGTTGGATCAATTCATCAGTGGGGAAACAGAAAGGAGAGGGACCAATTCACAAGGTGGGGGAAAGTGCCAAACTGATTGAGAAGAATATGTAAGTGATCAACTAGAAATCTAGAAGGAACTTTGACATGCTGAAGCAATGCAGTGAGCGAGTAATTAAAAAAACTATAATATTTGCTCCCCTTCAGCTCCCTGTTATCTCTGTGATGAGGGATGTGGAGTCTCAACTTTTGCCTGATGTGGGAGCCACAGTGACATGCAAGGTAATATCAGCTGTTCTAGTTACGTGTTGTAGTCTGGCAAGCATCAGAGGATTTTTCTGAATTTTCAGAGGATGAAGGGGAGGATGGGGTTCAAAGTGAGGAGTCTGTGAGTGATCGGAAAGAATTGCAGGCAGTAGAGGCTCATGTTTGGGATTCTTCAGCTCATTCCCAGGCAACAGGAAATGAAAATACCAGTTCCCTAGAGAAATGGCTTTGGGCCGATGGGTAGGTTTCACGGGAATTTCGATTAGACCTGAGAATGTAGGGACTTAAAAACAGGCAAACTAGATATTCACAGAGAATTCAAGATAAGACGCTGAAGTCCAGGTGTGTCATACATGATGTCATGGTTGTCTTAGAGAACTTAAATTAAGTGGTTTGGTTTCAGACCTCTCAGAGGAGATCGTTCTGTGTCTGCTCTCAAATCCTTGGTTCAAGTATTCTCAAGTTTCCTGTTCTTGTCTATGCCTGTGCTTCTTGAAGAGTTTACCTTGGAAAAGTTCCTGTTTTCATGTTCATGGATTTATGTCTGAAGTACTGCTGTGGATTTTGGTTTCCTGGGCTTTATGTTCCTTGTCATTTTTGGATTACTGTGCTTTTGTATTCTCTATTCTCCTGAAGTTCCTTGTCATTTCTAGAATACTGCTCTTTAGTATTTTCTGTTCTACAGATCCTTTTGGAATTGCCCTTTTCCCTTTTTATCTACTTGCTTTAATAAACATTTTAGATTGAATTACTGGACTCTGGTGTAGTTCTGAGTGAGAGGGTGTTCCAGTGCTAGAGTGCAACACTAGGCAAGAAAGAATTATCCTTCATTCAACTACTGTGTGTTTTTAAAGGCCAAAATTACAATAGAACATATGAATTCCAGCTATTGCATAAGGGTAGAATTGTCTCTCTTTGTATTTATAACCAAGGTTCACCCTGATTAGCTCATGATTTTCCATAAGCTCTAGAAGGCCTCACAGAATCCTGGATGATATTTCCCTTTATATCTGCTAGAAGTGAAAGAAAAAAGGCCTTAATAAGGCACCAGATCTTGTGTGATCATGGAAGCTAAACAGGATCAGGCCTTGTTAGTATTTGGATGGATATAAAAGGTGCTGTGGGTTATATTTCAGATGAATGCATTGGCACCTCTTGAGTATTCCTTGCCTGAGAAAATCTTATGAAATTCATGGAGTACTATAAGTTGTCATGCAGCTTGAATGTGCATACAGTAGTTCCATCCTTATCCACAAAGAATACATTCTAAGCCCTGTGAATGCCTGAAACCATAGCCATTACTGAACCCTATACTAGTAATATTTTCAGGCCACAGTTGACTGTGGTTACCTGAAATAATGGAAGGTGAACCCACAGATAGGGGAGAGACTGTGTAATCTTTTTGGACAGCAGTTGATGTTGGATAATTTAAACCATAGAAAGTGAACCCACAGGTAAGAGGAAGCGCCTGTACATGGAAGGGAAGAAAGACAAAGTAGCTCAGAAGATCCCTTCAACAGTGACAGCAATCTTTTGTTACAGGGAAAGAAGGGAAGGCTAGTAACGTAATGGAGACATTAGTGTTGCTGGATCCTCATATTAACTCTGTTTCAAATTAAGCATATCAAATTTGCAGCCATAACCTTATACCCTTTTCTTGCCCAACTCTGTCCAGGTTTGCAGTATTAACTCTCGTTTTGCAAAGGTCCACATCTTGTATGTTGGCTCTTCACCACTGAAATCCCCATTCCGTGGAACAATCAGGTGAGTCGTGGTTGGTGGCATTTTCTGAGCATTGCAATAGCTGTGGTGTTGGTGATGGTAGATTAAACCAGAAACTATTGTTATTAGCATGTGAAGGCTTATGAGAATTAAATAGTTAGTGATAAATGGCTCAAAAAATCTGTTCTATTGGTGTCAGATTTCTTGTTGGGTGCTGTCAACTCATTTATGACTTGGGAAAACCATAATGGGCTTTTCTTGGCAGGATTTGTTGGGGGGGGGGGGTTGCCTTTGCCTTCCTCTGAGGCTCAGCGAATGCTACCTGTTCAGTGGGTTTCCATTTCTATTGTGGTCTCCTGAACCATAGTTCAGTGTTCAAACTATTCCTCCACATTGGCTCTCTAGCTAGCTAATTTTTCCTGCACCAGATCAATTGTGGCACATAAAGTAATTTGTCTTATGGAGAAGAGAGATGGCAGGTTAGGTCTCACCTTCTCTTCTCCCATTACAGGAGGGAGGATATTCGAGCTACAGAGAAAGACAAGGTCAGTGGAATAAACACTTGATCTCTCATGTGATGAGAGAAAAGAAAGCTGATGCACAGATCAGAGCATTTCATCCTGATGCTAATAAATCTCTTTCCTTAATTACTATTTGAGAAGGTTAAAATGTTGTTGAGGCAAGGATTTTTTTTAGCAATCCTGCTGTTCCTGGTTTGCAGGGAAAGAGTGACAGTAATTGTCCTTTTTGGACAAAGTTTGCCCTAGCACAGGAGTGGAAACATGAACTTCCAGTTGCAGAGCAACAGCTTTTCCTCACTGTTGATTTTGCTGATAATGGCTGCTGGGAACTGCCGTTCAACATTTGGAGGTCACAGCATTGTAACCTGGTCCTTGAACAAGCTCAGATGGATGTTACCAAGATGCTTTCAAGTCTCCTTTATATCCAGATAGGCCTTGTTTCCCCTCACTCATCTCCTCTGTCAGTGTCTTGAAATTGTCCCAGACCTGACCATTCTTTTTTTCTCCCCCACTCTGGCTACTACTGGCTTGATGGCAGGTAGAGGTTTACAAAAGTTTTCGCCCTGGAGATATCGTTTTGGCCAAAGTTGTATCCTTTCTCTGTTGTTGCCTTCATATCCTAGTTTGAAATTGTGAATAGGAATGGAGATATTCATGCTGTTTCCCTTAATTCATCCTACTTGGTTAGATCTCTTTAGGTGATGCACAATCCAACTACTTATTGACCACAGCAGAGAATGAATTGGGGGTTGTGGTGGCTCATAGTGAAGCAGGTAAGAGCACTCTTGTTCCAAAAAGGTTGAAGGCAATGCTGAAAGGTGTTATATGCGATGGCATTTCCAATGGCTCAAGTTTCTAGTGTGATCAACCAGCAAGTGCTGTGCACCATCTAACACTGTTTTTGATTAAAGGTAGATATTTAGAATATACAGTACATTCTCTGTAAGTTGAAATGGAGAGTTGGTGATGGGTGCTCAATTTTCTGAAAGCAGAGTTGCTGAATGACAGGACAGGCACTGGTAAAGAAAATCGCAAGTTATTTTCACTGAGTGGAGAGGAATGTGTTTTCCAGGGAAAGTATAGTGTAAATACTGATTTCTGTTTTCTGTCTCAGGTGTACAGATGGTTCCAATCAGCTGGTGTGAAATGCAGTGCCCCAGTACACATGGCAAAGAGCTGCGCAAGGTAGCCCGGGTACAGCCCCAGTTTCTGCAAACATAGTGGTTACTGCATCTATTAAGTTGCACAGCTAGTAGACAAAGATGTAGCTCCATGCCAGGAGCAAGAGAAACTCAAAAGGAGTCTCCTCAGCTGTTGCTGAAAATAAGGATGCAAAGCCAGAGCTAGGACTCTAGCAACATCTCTTTGCTTTTGCCTCTGGACTGAATGAGGCTTTGACTACAGGCTATTTCTTCCAGTTTTGTACCGTTTTGTAAAGCAATAAACTTTTCTCATAATCCCTCTGGATACTACCTTGAGTCATAACTTGGTCTAGAAACGACAAAGAGGACAATCTAAAGCAGAGGTCCTCAAACTTTTTAAACAGAGGGCCAGGTCACAGTTCCTCAAACTGTTGGAGGGCCGGATTATAATTTGAAAAAAAAAACCATGAATGAATTCCTATGCACACTGCACATATCTTATTTGTAGTACAAAAGACACTTTAAAACAATACAATAATTAAAATGAAGAACAATTTTAACAAATATAAACGTATTAGTTTTTCAATGGGAAGTGTGGCCCTTCTTTTGGCTGATGAGATAGGATTCTTGTTATTGTTGTGTGCATTCAAGTCATTTCAGACTTAGGTTGACCCTGAGTGAGGGCCGGGTAAATGACCTTGGAGGGCCGTATCCAGCCCCTGGGCCTTAGTTTGAGGACCCCTGATCTAAAGGGTTTTCTTTTTTACTTTCTGAGCTGTATAATGTTTCATTTTTCCCAGGACCAACTATCTCATGGTGATATGAAGCATTTTAATGCACCAGTGTATTGAAGTTAAACTGCTGCTGAAGAGAATAGCGTTGGTCTAATATATCCTTACACTGTACTGATCAGCCAGTCTTTACATATTTCTACATGCCTATCATTGCTCAACAGTGAGTTTCCTTACAGGCCATTTATATGGTCACACAAGCATGCACACTCAACAAATAGCTAATTGGTCCTCAATTTAGAAAATTGATATTGCTTTGAAATTATTATATTCTTGTCCAAGTTATTCATAGATAATATGTATAGTTCCATCTCTAATTTCAAATGGTCACATCTTCTGTCTATGCTAGTGATTTGCATATGGTCATAATGCCCCACAAAGGATGTCCCTTCTGTAGGATGTATCACTGTATGAAGGGAGTGAGGAAAAAGTGGCCTTCTAGAGGTTTTTAATTGTTTCCTAAATACTTACTAAGGAATGTGGAGGGAAATTTTGCCAAGTTTTGACTTCCTACTTGTGAACAGAAAATATTTCATTTTTTCCCCAAGGGATGTCACAGCAGTGTAAGGTCTTCAAAAGTTTCCTTAAAGGGCCAGTGTAGATCATTTACCCCCAACAGTTGCCCACTTCTGTTCTGTAGGGACTCTGAAGATACCCTGAACGTGACAGTTACCTGCAATGCATAGACAGTGGCATTGAGATGAGCTATAGGTAAATATTTGGATTTAACAGCCGGTACTTTTTTTTTTCATGTCAGGATGACTTGAGAAACTGCAAGTTGTTTCTGGTGTGAGAGAATTGACTGTCTGCAAGGAAGCTGCCCAGGGAACGCCTGGATGTTTTACCATCCTGTGGGAGGTTTCTCTCATGTCCCCACATGGGAAACCGGAGTTGACAAACGGGAGCTCACTCCATTCCCCAGATTCTAACTGCTGACCTTTCAGTCAGCAGTCCTACCACCACAAGGGTTTAACCCATTCCGCAACCGGGGGCTCCACAGCTAGTACTGTCAAGATGGACAAAAGGCAAGAGGACCACTTGCAATTGAGTGTTACTAACTGGGGAAAGTAGCAAAGTCACAGGCCAGATGCCACCTCCATTGTAGGTTACTTTCTGTAGGCTACATATAATGCAATTATACTGAAAGGACTTTTAATATAGTGATTTCAGAATTGAACTAGAGCACTGCCAGGTCAGGGTTCAGGGAAACTCTCTGGGTGACCTTGGGCAAACAATACTCAGTGATAGGTGAATCCTTTCTGAGCAAATTTTGCCAAGAAATCCTACAATGGGCTTGTCTTAGGGTCACTGTGAATCAGAAATTAATTAAAGGTACATAGGGTTAAACCAGAGAAATGGAGAAGACCCAGCTCATACGAAAACAAGTGAACGCTTTCCTAGTAGTCAGTTGTCACCACTATAGCCCACCAAGAGTTTTGGATACAGTCTCTTTGAGAGAGGAAAATGGGATATAAGTAGATAGAATAATAATTAGATTGCACTGATATTCTTTCAGCATTCAGAAATCTAGGATGGAAATTAGCTCATCACAGTTGCCAATTTTGAGCATTGATATGGTTCTCATCAGAACTGGCCAAAATGAGTTATTCCTGGTTCAGTGAACACTGGAGAAGATAATTATCAGGAAGTCTTGCAGCACAGTATGCTTTGAAATAAGGCAAGGCTTAACTGATGAGAATAGCTGGGTAACTGATGGGCATTGCAGTCCAACAGCAGCTGGTAATAGGTAATTGCAAATGTTATTACTTGGGACCTCCTTCTGGTTTTGGAAACAACTGGAAATGCAAAGGGCAGGAATGTTCAGCCACTGCAATCACAATACATCTCTCTGCCCTACTTCACGGAATCCTGAGATTTCAGTGGATATCAAAAAACTTGAAAAGAGCAGTGGCATCTTGGTACAGATTCTGACAGGTAACAGCTCATTGGCATAGTGGTATTCTGAGATCCACAAATGAAGAAAAAGACACCGAATGTATTGCACATAATTCCTTTATTTTACCGAGACTAGGGCAAATGCAGCCATTGTACAGTGAAGTGAGCTCCAGTGTAAACCTGCCTTGTGTCAGACAGGGATACCACACAGATTGCTGAGCATAAAAGCAACACATGATATACAGTATCTGGGCTGACTGGCACTACAGCAATGTTATGGGGTCACAGTTGGAAATCACAGGGAAGGTGCTGTTCCCTTCTCTTCCCTAGCCTCAACCCTTCTTCCTGGCGTTTTGAAGGCAATCACATAAAAGTTGGCTATTGTCACCTAACACAAAATCAGATAGAGCTGTAAGGACAGCTAAAAAAAATGTCCTTTTAGTTAAGTGGCAAGCTGTTTTCTAAAATAACAGGCCTTGTGTCACAGCTGTGTTATTTCAAACATCCCTAGTCTTAAATCACAAAAGTGACGACAAAGCCACATCAAGTAACACTTGACTGATGCATCTACAGCTGCCACGTGAAATGGAATGAAAGCGAGAGGGACACTGTTTTTGGGAATGCTGGGGAGTAGCTGGGTCCCTTTTCACTTAAGCAGCATCACATTCAATTGCAGTGGGCTTACTACTCTCCCAGAGCCTCTGCTGGACCTTGGTCCCCATCTTTAGGTATCTAGCCAGGTCTGGGTGGGAAAGGGGAGTGAATGTGGAAGGAAATGGATCTTGGCCCCAAAAAGCTTCACCTCCTTTGGCTCACCACCTAGTCCCTTAGGCTGTGGCAGGCATGTGCTGGGGAGGAAAGGGACAAGGGAGGGGACCTCCTACAGATGTCTTTCCCTGGACCTCACTTTTTGACCTTCCCCTGAGCTGCCACAGCTTCCATAGCCTTGCGGACTGTCTCCTCATCTCCCAGGAACTGCATGGGCTTGATAGGCTTCAGGTTTTTGTCCAGCTCATAGACAATAGGGATCCCAGTGGGCAGATTGAGTTCCATGATAGCTTCTTCAGACATTCCTGCAAAGTATAAAACAATAAATCATATGGAAACTTTGCTATATTGCCCTACTCAAGAACAATTCAGAAAGAACCACCTTGAAGTTTCCCTTCAAACCTGACCAGACTTGTGCTGATTTGAGACAGATGCGTCTCACATCCTGAGTAGACTCACCTTCTAGGTGTTTAACAATGCCACGGAGACTGTTGCCATGGGCAGCAATGAGCACCCGCTTGCCTTCCTTGATCTGTGGAACAATTTCCTCATTCCAGAAGGGCAAGGCCCGAGCAATGGTATCTTTCAAGCTCTCACATGTAGGCAACTGATCTTCAGTTAGGTCAGCATAACGACGGTCCTGGAGAAGAAAATGTAATGCCACTTAAGACACAGCAGCAGCTGGTTTTACTTTTGGGGGACTACCAAAACAACCTGTTCAGTGAAACAAAGGAACCCCTTGACCACAGGGAAAATATTATTTTTGACCTCTGCTACAGGCTCAGCAGAAAACACCAGGCCCCAATGATATAAAACCCATGGGAAGGTTTCCCTGTTTGTATTGTGATCTCTATCCAGCATACCTTCTTGCATCAATAACACTATTAATATTTACTGTCAACAACCTGCTAGGTTTTAAATGTCTGCCTGGCAAAATAGGCCTCCATTAGAGGTCATAAATTTGTCTTTTCACTACACTTTCATTATGATTCCACACCCAAGTTTGTTTAATATGGATTTGTTTGTCTCTCTAACAATTCTAATTATAACTGATGCACACTCTTGTATTGAAGCTGTCTAGCAAAAGGGTGGCACTTATAATCTGTATTCTAAATCATACAGTTCTGTTCTTAGTACTGTGCTAGTGACGCCTCTAGAACTAGTCTTCTAGGTGTTTTTGATTTCAATGCCCAGGAACCTAAGCTGCCTTGGTCACCAATGATTAAAGATTCTGGGAGCTGATGTCCAAAATACTGGGAAGACCAGAGTTTGGGAAACACTGCTCTAGAATGACATCTTGCTTGTAACGTACGAACTGTGTCCATTTTCACAGTTAAGTAACTGACAAACATATTGTACAAGTGAAAATCTCTGTCACATCCACCCACCACAAATAGCCTTGACATCTGTTGTTACATAGTACATTCACCAAGGAATTATTAATTACATGGAATAAATTGTTCTTTTCTTTACCGAGTCCTAATGTAGTCATCAAAATGCACAGTGAAAAATTCAGTTCCAACACAAAACCAGCAATTAGTAAAGCAAACTGTAAGGTTCCTAAAATCACTAAGCTAAGGTAAGACCACCTGATGGAGATGGGGGCACATTAAGCCCAATTAATCCATCATAGGAAAGGAGTAAGAACATGAGACTATGGAATACAATGTTACATTTATCCACAGAGTTTTCCCAAAATGACAATTCCATCACCTTCACAAAACTTATGAGATCTCCCAGCTCACCTTGCTGATGGCACTGTAGAAAGGGTGATCCGGCTCCATGGGAGGAGGTGGGATGTCATAGGAACGCCTCCAGATCTTCACTTGGGCCTCTCCATGTTTTGCAGCAGTCTCAGCCTTGTTAAGGCCTGTCAGACCACCGTAATGCCTCTCATTGAGACGCCAGGTTCTCACTACGGGTAGCCACATTTGATCAATGGCATCCAGCACAGTCCAGAGAGTGCGGATTGCCCTCTTCTGCACGGATGTGAAGCAGATGTCAAACTCATAGTTAGCATCTAGAAGGGGGCACAGAAAGCAATGTGCATTCATTCAATTTGCAGTCCATTTTATTCTAAACTGAGAGTCTTTAGAGATGGAATACAAAGCTTAACTCTCTCCAGCTGACTGAACACATTAAAGCCATGGAAAGTATCCTAGTACAGTTGCTTCACATTTTACTCCAAATTTCAGTATCACGCATAGGATAAAAAAATCACTAAATCTTGGATTGCGGGGGGGGGGGGGGGGGAGAGCAGGCATAGGGCAAACTTTGGACCTCCAGTTGTTTTGGACTTCAGCTCCCAGAATTGTGGGAGTTGAAGTCCAAAACAACTGGAGGGCTGAAGTTTGCCCCAAAACATTGGGAGGGCTGAAGTTTGCCCATGCCTACAGTAGAGGAAAGAAATAACTTTGATAAAGCAAGTACTGTACCATCGTGGATTTTATTTTATTATAACCACCAAGTTTCAGAGTGGAAAAGTAGCAACTAATCTGCAAGACACCAAATGTTACATTCTTCCTGCACATAGGTTGTACTATCTACAATGTAGCTAGTTTGTGACTGGCTACACAGGAATTGGAAATTGTAATGCTTATGTAATCCTTGGGCAGTGGCTGAGGGAGGAAGATCAGAGCAGCAGCTGCTCCATCAGCAGGAGAGGACGCAGCTAGCCATTTCCCTTTAAGAACAGCTACTTTGTGGCACACTGACAAGAAGTCCTTATGGTCTCTTGCCTGTTCCTCTTGGTAGAAAGACACAACAGTTGTGAACCAGTATCACAGGCAGGAAAGCAGCAGTTGTGGCCATACATACAATGGGGTGAAATGCAATTGTGCAAGCAATGGACACTTCTGACGTGACCGGATTCTTTATGCAATACACTTTAAAAGAGTACTTGATGTGACTGGTGCATGTGTCTTCATGTCGGCCGTTGACTTATGGCAAGCCGATGAATTTTACAGACACATTAATGCAGGGTTGTTTTAATTATGAGTTACGACCAAATTCAAATCAGTTAGGTCAGGTACTACAAAACATACTTAGTGGAAGAAGAATTGCCCTGTTGCCTGAAGACAGGTAGAAAAATAAATTAATTAAGAAAGTTCAGCTTCTTGAGCCTGCAGGGCTCAATTGCAGAGCTGTTTCTTGAAAGCTCTCCTCCATTTCCTGTAGCCAGAATTGGGCAGAAGCTCTTCCTCTGTTGCAGCACCACTCAATGACTCAGCGCCAGTTGCATCTCCCTAACAAAGGCCCAGAGCTCTGTAGGATGGAGAAGAAAAGGATGGGAGGGGGTTATCCCCTCTAACCACTTCCTAAAGCAGAGCATATTAAGCTACTGCCAGGTTCCCTCCTTGGAAGCTCTTTGGCACTGCCAAAAAACAGTGCTTTGTTTTAGAAACTGCTACATGACCTACCCAAGGTCACTTGCCGCCTATTGCACAACTGGAGGACATACCTAGAGAGACAACTGTACTTTTTATTGGGAGACAGCAATGTAAACAGGTCAAACATCTCTTTCTCATGCAAGGCAGGAAATGTGACCAACTGCACATTTGTCAGAATCATGCAATTGATTCTACTGTTGAATTGCTGTGAGTGTCCTGGGCTGTATGGCTGTGCTCCAGAAGCATTCCCTCCTGATGTTTCACCCACAGCCAGTGGAACAATGGGTTAAACCCTTGTGCTGGCAGGACTGATGACCGACAGGTTGCAGGTTCGAATCTGAGGAGAGTGCGGATGAGATCTCTGTCAGCTCCAGCTCCCCATGCAGGGACATGAGAGAAGCTTCCCACAAGGATGGTAAAACATCAAAACATCTGGGCACCCCCTGGACAACATCCTTGCAGAAAGCTAATTTTCTCATACCAGAAGTGATTTGCATTTTCTCAAGTTACTCCTGACATGAAAAAAACCAACCACATCTATGGCAGGCATTCTCAGAGGTTGTGAGGTCTAAACAAATGAAAAACATTTGTTTTGTGTTATTGGGAGTTGCCTTGATGGAAACCATGACATTTTTGTTTCCAAACAGGAAACAATCAGGGCCAGCTAACACCTTCCAACAAAAGATGCCTCTGGGGAGGAAGCAGCCAGGCTTCAAAGCTGCAAGGCCATTCAATGCTAATCAAGGTGGCCAGTGGCAACATTCACACTTGCCTCAAACAGACAAGAGTTCTTTCTCCCACCCTGGACCTTCCACTGATATATAAAGCTCCCTTGCTTAGTTTCCAATATACCTCACAACCTCTGAAGATGCCTGCCATGGATGTGGGCAAAATGTCAAGAGAGAATGCTTTTGGAACATGGCAATGTAGCTTGGAAAACTCACAGCAACCCAGTCAAGCACTCCTTTCTCATGCCAGGCAGGAAATGTGACCAAGCAGCACATTTGTCAGAATCAGGCAATTGATCCTACTGCCATTTGGTTCCAAATGACAGTAAAAACATGAAGCAATCACTATGGTGGTGGTAGTGATGGTAGTGTTACATCACCAGAGCCAAGAATTGGAAGCCAACAAGATTACATTCTAAAAGGAAGGGCCCCCGAGGCTCTGGATGGATTACGATGCCTCTGCTTAACCCCTGGAGGAGAAGAGATGCTTCTCCGTGGAGGAGAGAACCGGGTGGAGCAAAGGAAGAAAAACCTCCTCTTTGTCCTACTTTACAGCCCTGGCTTTCTCTCTCACTGGTTGGTAGAAGCTCAATCACTAAGCTGAGGCTCAGAGAATATGTGTGGGCCCCTCACAACTCAACACTGCCCCCTCCAGTCACTATCTCCTATCCATTGTGAGTAAATCACATCCTTCCGCTGAGAAATGTGTTGCTGAAAACTCATACTGCAATTCCACTCATCCTCTTTCCTCAGCCGCCATGCTGTTTTGAGTACCTTCTAATCAACTTCCATTAATGAGACCTCCAAGTTTCCCTATCCTTAAGGTCTTGCAAATGCAGGGCAATTGTCTTCATTGGTGTAATCCATTCATCCACCGTCCTCCTCTTTTCTTTTGCCTTCACCTTACTAAGTACAATAATCTTATCTAGTGTTTTCTCATGCTATGCCCAATGGAGGACAACCTCAGTATACTCTTCCTGACTTCAGGCCTGATTTGATAAATGTTGTTATTGATTATGCTTATTTTATATAGTTTATGCAATGTATTTATGCAATGTGCTTTTGTTTATTTGTTTACTTGTTTGGGTTGGGAGATGGTGTTGTGTTCTTGTATTATGTAATTTTCTGTTTTTTAACCATTTGTTCAAAAGCGGTCTTTTGAGTTTTATCCAGCGGGATAATAATAGTTTTATCCAGCGGGATAATAATTTGCTCCAGAACCCATTTATTTTTTCTTTCTAGCAGACCTCCTCCAGCTCCACATCTTAAATGGTTTAATGTATAATAATAATTTGCTCTAGAACCCATTTATTTTTCTTTCTAGCAGACCTCTTCTCCAGCTCCACATCTTAAATTGTTTGATTTTAATAATAATAATATGCTCTAGAACCTATTTGTTTTTTTTTCTAGCAGACCTCCTCTTCAGCTCCACATCTTAAATGGTTTGATTTTTAATAATAATAATATGCTCTAGAACCCATTTATTTTTCTTTCTAGCAGATCTCCTCTCCAGCTCCACATCTTAAATTGTTTGATTTTTAATAATAATAATAGTAATAATTTGCTCTAGAACCCATTTATTTATCTTTCTAGCAGACTTCCTCTCCAGCTCCACAACTTAAATTGTTTGATTTTTAATAATAATAATTATTTTAATAATTATTATTTGCTCTAGAACCCATTTATTTTTCTTTCTAGCAGTTCATAATATCCGTAGACCTCTTATCCATCTCCAATTCTTAAATGGATTGATTCCCGCCCAATCAACTCCAATAATAGGCTTTTCAGTGACTACAAGACCTGGGGCTGAGAAAAATAATCATCCAGCACATCCAGGGCTACCACAATAAGAATCATAGAATTATAGAATTGGAAGAGACCTCATGGGCCATCCAGTCCAACTCGATGAAGAGCAGAATCTAGCATGATTTGCTTAAAGGCAAATTTCCTTTATTTTTCTGTAGCCACTCACACACAAAGGGGCCATGCTGGACCTTGCACTTTTTGAAGGTGAGCTCAGATGTGGAGGATGAGATTTGCAGCACTTTGCAAATAAAATCTAATATAGATGACCAACATGTGACTATAGACCAGGCATGGGCCAACTTGGGCCCTCCAGGTGTTTTGGACTCCAACTCCCACCATTCCTCACAGCCTCAGGCCCTTTCCTTTCCCCCCGCTTAAGCGGCCGAGGGGGAAAAGGAAGGGGCCTGAGGCTGTGAGGAATGGTGGGAGTTGGAGTCCAAAACACCTGGAGGGCCCAAGTTGGCCCATGCATGAGCTATCTCACCCTACTAATTTGCATATGGTTTCTGATTGGCCAGCCTCAACATTCTATCACCCCCAAGGCTATACCCTATTTCCCCATCTTCCTCCTCCTCCTCCCCGGCTTCACCTCTCAGCGCCTCTCCGCCTCGCCTCGCCTCTTCCTGGCCTGTGGCGCTCAGGTCCGCGTCGTACCACCCGCTGAAGCGGTTCTCCAGGTTCCAGGCGCTCTCTCCGTGCCGGACTAAGACCAGCCTATACGCCGCTGCTGCCGCCATGCCGCCGGGAATCGAAGCCTAGAAGCACTGCCTGGGATGATGCTCTGCCCTCACCGACAAGGAGACTCTTCGGAGGCCAGAGCGCATGCGCAGTAGAACGCCCCGCCCACTGCCCCCATTGCCCCGCCCGCGAGCCCTAAGATCTAATACTGTAGAGACACACATTTCGACACATCATTAAAGAAGACACAAATTCTTCTTTAATGGCTTTCTATTCTTTGCAGAGGCAAGCAGGTCTTGGGTGGGTTTACACTCTAGAAAGATTAATGCATTCCTATGGAATCCTGGGAGTTATAGTTTTACAAGATATCTCTCTCCATGTATTGCTGGAATCTTCCTTACAGGATCTTGAGCGTTACCTTACTAATATGAGGAATACGCGTCACTGTACGAAAGTTTGAGCAGTCTAAAGCATTTCCCTTTTTTGGTATGGGGATATAAGTTGATTTTTTCCAGTCTGATGGTCATTCTTGTGTTGTCCATATTTGTTGGCATATGGCATGCATCATCTTGACAGCATCCTCTTTCAAGGCTTGTTGTAGGTTTTTTCGGGCTATATGGCCATGGTCTAGAGGCATCTATGGCAAGCATCCTCATCTATGGCAAGCATCTTCTTTCAAGATTTTAAACAGTTCAGCTGGGATCCCGTTGTCTCCTGCTGCCTTGTTTTGCCTTGCAATAATAATAATAATAATAATAATAATAATAATAATAAACTTTATTTATACCCCGCCACCATCTCCCCGATGGGGACTCGGAGCGGCTTATATGAGGCCAAGCCCAAATAACAACAACAACAACAATAATAATAATAACCTTTATTTATACCCCGCTACCATCTCCCCGATGGGGACTCGGAGCGGCTTACATGAGGCCAAGGCCAAACAACAATTACAGTAAAGAGAAACCAAACACAAACCGAAAACGTAAACAATAAACAACAACATCATAATTACATAAAACATGTGAATACACAACAATATAAGATTACAGTAAACACAATCACAATGACAATGGGCGGGCTACATGTAATGGTTAAAAGAAGAACTAATTAAAACTGGTTAAAAACTCGGGTGAGATAAAAGAGAAACAAATTATTTGCAGAGGCGGGCTCATTATAGTGGGGTTGTGGAATCAAGCTTTCCCATGCGGGGGACAGGACGTATACTCCTATGACAGAACATTGCAAATGAGCAATAATGTGGGATTGAATACCACTTACAAGCCCATTCAACCTCACTCCTAAGGATGTCTGGTTCTAATTCACTCACCACACCGTCAAAATTATCCTCGATATTATTATCCTTCCTATACAAAAGAGTAGAGACATCACACTAGCAAAGAAGATCCGCATAGTCAAAGCAATGGTATTCCCCGTAGTCACCAATAGATGTGAGAGCTGGACCACAGGAAAGGCTGAGTGAAGGAAGATGGATACTTTTGAACTGTGGTGTTGGAGGAAAGTTCTGGAGGAGAGTGACTTGGACCGCCAGAAGATCCAACCAGTCCATACTTCAGGAAATAAAGCCTGACTACTCACTAGAGGGAAGAATAATAGAGGCCAAGATGAAGTATATCTATAATAATAATAATAATAATAATAATAATAATAATAATAATAATAATAATAATAATAATAATAATGAAGAAGAAGTTTAATCGCAAACGTTTGGGTGTGTGAGTTTATACATTTTCTATCTCTATGGCTATTTCAGGCCCGCTATTCCCGCTGCGAACTCGCAAATGCGCATGCGCACGCCATGCCTTTGGGGCGCGCCGCGCTGATCTTAGGCTGGAATTGATACGTGCACTCTGTGGCAGGAACTATGAAGGCTGTGCGCATGCGCACAGGCAGAGGCACCCGCTCGCGCACTCCCCCGGGCACGGAGCTCACGGAGCGCACGCGAAGGGCAACGTGACCTCCATCCCTTGGGATGCCCCCCCTGACCACGTGGCTTGGGCATCCTGGCTGCTCCACTACTGCTTCACTTGGAGTGGCTTAGCCTCATTAAGGCGGACATGGTCTAAGGAAAGCGAAGAGGTCTTTTAGGGTGCCTGGACTCCAGGCACTGTACAATTAATGCACCTTGGTGCCATGTTAAGTGCCATGGCTCAATGCTGTGGAATCATGGGGATTGTTTTGGAAAGAATCCAGACTGCTGCAGAATAACCCCTGAACTATTAATAAACATATAAGACTCATTATGCTTCATGTGGTACTTTTCTATGGACAAGGAGTTAACCTGAACCTGAGGACGAGCTCGAAGGCCCCCGCCTTCAAGATGATCTGGCACGCAGCAGGGAGTTCCGTAGTTCCTAGAAGCATGGATCTTCAAGAAGTCAAAGGGACTGTGGCTCCAGCAGCAGCTCCAATAGGGAGACCTTTCTTCTTTCCTTGTAAAACCTCCCCACTTCAATGTAACAAACCTTCAATAAAAAAGCATCCTTTTCTCCAATTTTTCTCTCTCCATAGTGTTACATTATGTCCTTTTACTGACTCTGACACTAACTAGCATGAACCTTCCGTTCTCCAAGCCACAGATACCTGCTGGCTCGCCTGGGACACACAGTGTCCCAGGGAGGCCGAAATTGTGTTCCTTTGAACCATGGATACGGGAACCCACCATGTCACCGTATCCACGGGTCAACCAATCAACTCCAAATCGGTGCCAATCTTTTCCTGGGACTAATTTGAGACTAACTGCTATCTTGCTTTCTGCTGAGTGGACCCCAGCACCCCGGGACACCACCTCATCGGGTGAAACCTCGTGTGGAAACCAGAATGTCTTTCTCCATGGCTCCCACGTAGCAGCCACAGTTGTGCCTTCACATTGTAGACATTACCCCCCGGCCTTGAAGCCTGCTGGATCAGAGGGGTCCCACGTGGGGACCCCCAACCTCTGGCAGGCCACTCCAGCCTGTCATGGACTAAAAATTATGAAATAAACATCTCAACTTGGTGAGACTTTTATTGAGAAAAAATTAGGGGAAAATCTTTTGGGTGCTTGCTGTCTGGCCTCTTTTTGGGTGTGGCCGGTCTCTGCTTTGCCAGGGCCTCCCAAATTCGTGTTCGACATCAAACCCTTGTCCCCAAGAAGAGTAGTTCAAACAGGAGGCCTGCAACCTGAATTCTCTATACACAGCTGCCTCTTACCACTTCTCTCAGAGTGTAAAAATGTCAGAATGGAAACTGGGAGATCAATAGAAACCCAGCAGGTTGCCAATGGAATGCTGCTTTAGGCAATCAGTTCCAGAAGAATGGGGTGAACATGTCTTCCAGCACTTGTTACAGTATGCTGCATGACTTTTTCCGTCTGGCCCCAGCTGTGTGTGCACATGTTATTTTACGAGATACGTCTGTGAGATAGAGACACCAAATTAACATTTCCAGCAAGCATCTTTTGGAGAGACTAGGAAGGAAATGAGGTGGTGCCAGATGGAATCCCCATTGCCAAGTGAAGAACACAGGTTTCCCTCGAATCTGGAGGACAGCAAGAGTCATAGACATTTTGAAACCAGGCAAAGGCCACAATGATCCAAAAAGCTATAGACCAATCTTCTTGTTGTGCTATATCTACAAAGTTCTGGAGAGACGTATTTTGCATTGAATTATGGGGAAAATAGACCCATGTATGATTCCACAGCAAACTGGTTTCAGGAAAGGCAAAAGCTGCAAATCACAACTGCTGAATATGACTCAACACACAGAAGATGGTTTTGAAGGGCAGCAGATTACAGACTCTGTCTTCATAGACCCAGCAGCAGCATATGATACTGTAAATCATCGCCTTCTCCTGAGAAAGATTTATAATATCAAAAAGGACTACCACCTCACCCACTTCGTAGGAAATCTGCTACAAAACTGGAGATGGGCCATCTGCTTCCCTGGTCCATCTGCTTCCAGGGCCAGGGAAGCAGATGGCAAAAACAGTAGAATGGCCTGCCTCAGTGGAGCATGCTTGCTCCATCAATGTTTAACATTTACACAAATGACCAGTCACTGCCAGAAGGGACAGAGAGTTTCATCTACGCTGACGATCATGCCATCACTGCTCAAACAGGGAGCTTTGAAATGGTTGAACAGAAGGTCTCCAAAGCTTTAAGTGCTCTTACTGCCTATTACATCTGATTCCTAATCAATTCCTAATCAATCTAAAACACAGATGCATGCTTTCAATTTTAAGAACAGACAACCATCTCGAGCTCTGAGGATTACCTGATAAGGAATCCCACTGGAGCATTGCAGTACACCAAAATACCTGGGAGTCACGCTGGACTGTGCTCTGACTCATATAAGAAGCACTGCTTGAATATCAAGCAAAAAGTGGGTGCTAGAAATAATATCATACAAAAACTGACTGGCATAACCTGGCACAGACACAGTGAAGACATCTGCCCTTGCGCTTTGCTACTCTGCTGCTGAGTACGCATGCCCAATGTGGAACACATCTCACCATTTTAAAACAGTGGATGTGGCTCTTAATGAGGCATGTCACATTATCACGGGATGTCTATGCCCTACAGCACTGGATAAATTATACTGTCTAGCCAGTATTGCACCACCTGATATCCACCAGGAAGTAGCAGCCATTAATGAAAGGACCAAGGCATTGACATCTCTGGCCATCCTTTGTTGAGATATCAGCCAGCATGCTAACAATTTAAATCAAGAAACAGCTTCCTAAGATCTACAGATACTTGCAGGAACACATCAGCAAGCGAGAGTCCAAAAGTGGCAGGCTAAAACCCAGGACCTCAATCAGTGGCTGAGACTGGATTAAAAACTCCCTCCTGAGCACACAGAAGACTGGATGACTTGGAAGGCGCTGAACAGACTGCGCTCTGGCACCATGAGATGCAAAGTCAATTTTAAGAAATAGTGTTACAAAGTGGAGTCCACAACATGTGAGTGTGGAGAAGAGCAAACCACAGACCACTTACTACAACACGGTCTGAGCCCTGCCACATGCACAGTGGAGGACCTTCTTACAGTGACACCAGGGGCACTCCAAGTGACCAGCTTCTTCCGGTCAAAGGAAATTTAGTATACTGCCAAGTTTTTAACTTTATTTGTGGTTTTCCTATACAATATAACTGT